ATAGGTTTCTTGCTCATGGAGACAATGTGAATACAACAGCAAGAGGATTTAGAATTGGAAAATCTACTGCGTATAAAATTATTTTTGAAACTTGTAATGTTATCTGGAATGTACTTCAACCAATCTATCTTCCCAAACCAACAGCAGATTCATGGAGGCGCATTGCTGAAGATTTTTATGAAATTTGGAATTTTCCAAATTGTATTGGCGCAGTAGACGGAAAACATATTCAAATCCAATGCCCTCCTAAAACAGGAAGTTTATATTACAATTATAAACAATTTTTTAGCATAGTGCTAATGGCTGCTGCTGATGCTAAATATAAATTTACTTGGGTTGATATAGGAGATTATGGTAAGTGTATTAACTGAAAAAAAAATGATTTATTAATGTTTTTTTATTGTTAATATGTTCATTTTTCATTTCTTACAGGTTCTATGAGTGACGGAGGCATATGGGCTGAGTCCGCATTTGGTTCTGCTCTGGAAGAAGGCTCTGTTGATCTACCACTGCCACGTTTGCTTCCCAATTCAAATATAATGTTTCCACATTTTTTTGTGGGGGACGAAGCTTTTCCATTAAAGATGTACATGATGCGGCCATACCCAAAGAAAGATTTATGTGTTCGTAAGCGAATTTTCAATTATAGGCTTAGTAGGGCACGCAGAGTAATTGAAAATTCTTTTGGTATACTTACTGCTAAATGGAGAGTGCTGCGACGTTCTCTGTGTTTTTCTCCTACCAATGCTGAAGTGATAGTAAAAGCTTTAGTATGTCTTCATAATTTTCTTCTTACTAAGGAAGGAGGTATTGGCGGACGTTATTGCCCCAATAATTTATTAGATCATGAAATAAATGGAATATTTCAACCTGGTGCTTGGAGAAATGAAGGTGCTTTAAATCATATGCAAGAGTTGCGTAGAATTGGTTCTAATAATTCTGGAAGAGCAGTAATTAATTTAAGGAATATACTTCTGAATTATGTTAATAGTGACGAGGGCCAAGTTGAGTGGCAACGAGCTCATGTTTTTTGTAATAACAATATAAATCTAAATTGACTTATAGTAATGTTTATCATATTGAATTACGTGTATAAATCCTGTATATAAATTATCTTATATATAAAAACACTGTAAAGCAAAGTTTTAAAAGGGGAATTTATTATTATATAGTATAGTAAGATAAAAATAATACAAATAAAGATTTTACAAAATCACATTATTTATTTATTTAAAATAATAACTAATCATTAGTACCATCCATTATTTTCTATTATAAGATGTACATATTAACATCCATACAAAGAATTTTAAATTAAAATTAAAATTATAATACTCAACACATAAGAATTTTATTCTCTGCATCTTAAAGAAATACTGAATTATCTTAAAGAAATACTGAATAGTCAGCATCTTTTAAACAGTCTCATGCAACTAGTAGACGCTAAGTCCACATGCCTAATAAGTTAAATAATCACAGATATTAGTATATTTGGCATAACTAATAAAATAATATCACTTCTTATTATACTATATATAAAAAAACAAGTATCATTAACATATTATTATTAATATATATTCATAATATATATCTATAATCTTATGTATCTTATCCATCTTGTAAAACAATAGTAGTAAAAGAAGAAAAAAAGTAAGACATTAGCACAAATTTAAAAAATAAAAAATATATATTAAATGCACATTACTAAAATTATAAAAATTATATTGCACATTTGGCATAAAATAAAAAAAATAGAGTATAGGCTAAAAATCATATATAAGTTACTCTCCATCCATATTTTTCATTGTTGTTTGTTCTTACTTCCATATTCTTTTACAACATTCAACAACGTCATTAAACATTCAGTCTTTAGATCATCATTTAATTTTTAAATGTAGGCAGAAGACAAGATAAATATTGAAGATCGTCACTTCCATTTGGTTCCTTTAAGGATTGTTTTACTGTGTCAAGTGTTTCCTTCAAATAGTGAGAAGCTTCTGACATACGAGCAGAGCAAAAATCAAGTTCTTTCTTTTTTTTAATATGGAATTTATCTGGTGTGGGAGCTTTACGTTTACATTTCATATTAGATAAATATTTCTTATCTTCAGTTTCAGACAGAGATATCTTTTGTTCAATGCTGCTTGCTGACAATGATTCAACATGTGAAAAAGAGTCATCTGAAGAAAGCAATGTTTCACTGTTTAGTGTCTCAGTGAGAACTGGTGCAAAATCTACAAATTCAAATATAATCTATACAGATCAGATTAACCAAAAACAAAATTATAATACAAATATTTTTGAAATATACATGACATACTTGAAAATTCAAAATCTATCACATTTGTATTCTGCAAAGACGATTCAGGTGCAGTACATTTCATTGTGTTTTTAAATGGTTCCGAGGATGATTTAAGAACAGAGTTTTTATTGTTTAAAGGAGAAGCCAAAAGTCCACTAGTTGTAGAAGCCAAAGGTCCACTAGTTGTAGAAGAAGCTAAAAATGGCTTTTTATAAAAATTTGATGTTCTGTTTGACCTGAAATAATAAAACAGAAATGAAATTATAAATTATACATCATACATTACATAAGCATAAAATTAGAAACAAAAATAAGAATATATTTTTTATAAGTTATTATTAATTGATTATTTACTTATGACGCATATGTGGTATAAGAAACTGCATGTCACCCCAGTACTCCCATTCAATATTTGTTGACTTTTCTTTAGCAGCTCCACTCCCACTTGGCACTTTTTCCTTCAATTGCGCTAATTTGCGGCTGAATACAGTTCTCAATGATTTCCATTTCCTTTGCACTTCTACTTCTGTAACAAATGGCAAAATAACGATTATACTGTGTTGAGGTTATGAATAAAATTAATTTTAAATTTTACACATAAATACAGCACATAAAAACGTACCTGTTTTATGTAGTAAATTTCCTATTATTTTCCAAGCATTATTTTTTTTTTCTTTATTAAAAAAATCTTTATTGGTCTTATTAACTAAAAATTCATTCGCTTTTATTAGTGTAATGAGCGATCGTATTTCGGATTCATTCCATTCTTCTACTTCTTCAAACGTATCCAAATCGTATGTTTCTTCCATTTTCATAAATTATTAAAATATTAACAAAATAAAATACAAAAATATTTGGAAAAGAACACCGAAAATCATATAACCTACATTTCACAACTTATTTCACTTGGTTTCACTCTTCGCGTTTTTTCTAAAATGCACGACACTTGATTGGCTGACGTGCTGCGATTGCCAGTTGCTGTTGCCAAAAAGTAAAAAGTTGACCAACTCTGTGTTGGCAACTGCAACGGCCAAGCGCAACCGGAAATATCACTTTTCCACTAGTAGTTGCCATTCTTTGCAACTGGCAACGAGGCATTTGCAACTCATTGTAGAATGGCCCTAACTCAAGCAATACAAGACAGCGTCGAGTTGTCATAAATCATAAAGATTCTAGATGGTTATGACTATTTCATTTTTCGGTCCTAGTGAAACTAACTCGAACTTGAATTATCGTAAACACCCAATGTCTAAGGCTCAATGAGTAGATGCGAGTAATTCGCATTACTGCTCACTGTGATTGGTCGATTTGCTTAAGACCAATGTCCACAATGCTAGAAATCGATCTGAGATTTTGGTCCGAGAAACTTTTAGCCAATAAAATTGCCGTTTTTACATAAAAAATGCAAGTTGATTGGTTATACATTTCTCGGACCGATTTCTAGCATCGTGGACATTGGCCTTTACGCCGTACTATTTTTTTAAGTATAATGGCCTTGGTGGAGAAAGATAGCTAGCCCCGAGATGTGGTTCTCTCTCAGCTCGCGTCAGGCTGTCAGTGCACATTCCAGTATATATATTACCTCTATGAAGTTGGCCCCTCATTTTTTTAAATTGAAAAAAATGATTAGAGTTCTAAATGCCCCCTGAGGAGTTCTAGAGCTCTCAGTCCATTTTAGAAAGAGTTCTGCCATTTAAAGTAAAGAAAACACCATTTGAAAAATCGAGGGGCTAACTTTACGACGCCCTCCATTATGTAAAAAATCCAAATTTTTTATAGTTTTGAGTAGATTTCAAATAATTCTATTGTTCTAGATAAGTTTTAAAAATAGTTCTGCTCGAAATACTACGAAAATTAAATTTGAAATTTTCGACTTAAAAGACGAAAAATAGCGAAAACTCGTCCAATTTTGATTTTAGCGTTTTGAGCCTTAAGGATAATCGTTAGAACTCGTGAGGGGCTATACAAAACTCTTAACAGAATTGTCGGTTACCGAGAAAAATTTTTACCCTTGTGAGACTTAGAAATTTTTTGGACCCGTAACTTCAACCATTGGAAACCTATTGAGAGTTCTGGATGCCCCCCAAAACTTATTAAGATAAAAACCCCCCAAAAAGTAACGATAATTATTAACACTCGAAGCACTCTGTAGCGAAATAAAAAAGCTCTCGATGATTGAAATTACAGGTCCGAAAAATTTCTAAGTCCCACAGGGGTAAAAATTTTTCTCGATAACCGGCAGTTCTGTTGAAAGTTTCGTATAGCCCCTCACGAGTTCTAACGATTATCCTTAAGGCTCAAAACGCTAAAACCAAAATTGGACGAGTTCTCGCTATTTTTCGTGTTCTAAATCGAGAATTTCAAATTTAATTTTCGTAGTATTTCGAGCAGAACTATTTTTAAAACTTATCTAGAACTATAAAACTATTTAAAATTTACTCAGAACTATAAAAAATTTGGATTTTTTACATAATGGAGAAGTTAGCCCCCCGTCGTGAAGTTAGCCCCCCGATTTTTGAAATGGTGTTTTCTTTACTTTAAATGGCAGAACTCTTTCTAAAATGAACTAAGAACTCTAAAACTCCTCGAGGAGCATCCAAAACTCTAATCATTTTTTTCAATTTTAAAAAATGGGGACCAACTTCACAGAGGTATATATATTATATATATAGTTCAATGCTCAACAGTCACCAACAATTGCCAACGGTATGAAATACGCATTTATTAGGTCTATTCTTTATAGCTAAACTGGCTGCACTAGTTCAGAGTTTATCTTTTTCCCACCACATTGGAAGGAGAAAGATAAACTTTGAACTAGTGCAGCCAGTTCAGCTATAAAGAACAGACTTATTGTTACCAAATAATATTATCAAACTAATTTTTATCATGAATCGAATTTCTTTGAAGAGTTATATATACAACTTGTTATGAAAGAAATTGATAAAGTATATAAATTTCACCTAGCATTTCTTACCGAATCATGGGTAAATATATTAATTTATATGTAAATTTTGTTGGAGCGTGATCTTTAAAACTGCTTTTTATCATAGAAATAGAAGCTGTTATTTTGTAATCTACAAGTTTTTCTTTATTGCTTATATTATATAGAGTTTTTATTTCAGTCTTATTAGCGATACCTAAAGATGAATAATAGTAACATTTTTGCTGCATATTTTTTCAAATTTGGTAAAAGGTTGGGATAATACTTCTTAAGAACATTTTGAATCTGTTGGTCTGCTTTGAACAACTGCTTGAGTTTTAACTATAATTGCTTTTCCTACTTCTACCTGCTTCCTGATTCTCTACTGTCTGATTCCTCTCTTTTGTTTGTCTCTATTTTTTTCTTTTCTCTTTCTTTTCTCTTATTACGCTCAATGTAATAGCCACTTTACTCTTTTTATCTTAACGTCCAGTTTACTGCAATATATTATTACATGATATCCAAAATCTTTTAATTTATTATTGTGAATTCTCGGTATGTTAAATTTTTTAATATCAAAATTTGTCAGTAATGTATTGTTATATTTTTCAGATATTTTTCTCTGTCGATGATTAACATATTTGCAAAATTACATATCACACACCCGCAAGAAAAGTGACACCAGTAAAAAATATCAAACTGTTCAGGAGAGAGGAAAGAAGGAATTGTGTTAATAATAACGTAATATTATGAATTAATATTATGAATTGGTTTTTATCTTAAATTCTGTCGCAAATTATAAATTGTCTGAAGCAAGCTTAATTTTACGGAAAATAATTTTACATGTCTATACTTGGTTAAACAATAATTTAAAAATTAATTATTTACGGCAGTATTCAACATAGCGGACTCATGCGGAAAGTATTTGAATTCAACTTCTATCACTTTTCCTGATTATATCCGGCCGATGTATTTAGATCACAATTCGTGCATAAAACAAAATTTGAAAAATTTCGATTTGTGTTACTTTTCTTACAGATGTGCGATATGTATAATCTTCGTAATTAGGCCATCAGAAATCTTAAAATAATTTATGATGTTACAATAACCAATGATAATAAATGACTTTGAGATATATTACTTTAATTCATGACAAATGTTTCTTCTTTTATCTAATGAAACCTGAATTATATTTTTATTTTGCTTAACATTTGTTTCAGATAAAGTTTTATGATTAAGCATTTTTAATTTAATAGATACATTTCTCAGCGTTTTATATTTTACAGCGTAAAATATTTTACTATCACAATATCAAAAATATTATGTCTTAAAGTTACTGTATTAGAATAGTACAGTACAAATGATTTCTTTCACATTGTGAATAATTTTAAACTTTGACGCTAAACCATCGACCGCTAAACTCTCCTCCGCGGCATCTGTTGCTATACGAGAAAATTGGTTCGAGATACATCTATGTCCCTATTTTTAGGCAGTAATCCATAATATCTTGCAGCAAAAGCAATTTAAATTCCCATTTACTGATAATATAAAATGATTTGTAATTCTTTTCACAGTCAACATATTAAGATCAATTAAAAAAAGAATGTGGACGTACATATATATTTTCGTGAGCCATTTAATATCATAATCTATAATTCGTATGTATGTCGTATACTTAAAACTTATTAATTACATCTGTTTATGGCAAATATAAAAAAATTCTAAAAGTTGCGCAAGATATAACGTGTTAAATATACGTGATTGTTAGCAGTTTCCTTATGTAAATTTTGAATACAGTAACTTTCGAACGGAGAAAATTGAAGAAGGGTGGGTAGAGGGGGGGTAATTTAAAGAGAAAGTTTAAAACGCTTCTCTATATCATATAAATTCCCTCTGGACACCGAAACTTATTAAATTCTAAAATTAATAATTTCAAAAAAATTAATGATTCTTTCATTAGTGCCTAAAGCTATTAGCAAAGATATTACATAATACAAAAATTAATTAATTATATTTAATTTTTGACTTTCTTTATAGTTTATTATAGTTTACTATACTATCTATACACAACATGTGTAATGTCAAATGTAGCTTTATAAATCAATTTTTTATTTTATGCCACACATTTCATTAGGACAATTTAGTAACATTATAAAATATATATGTCTCACAGCCGTATAAAAAGTGAAAATTAAATAATAGCTGAAAAATGTTTGCATACTTCCCAACAAGAAGCACAATCAACATAATGATACACGTGACACAATGTTGACATAAGCGTTTTCCTGCAAGGATATCAATCGGTATAAATTAGTATGATAAATCAGAGAAGCTAATTCGAAGTATTTATGTCGCAGTCATCACTATCAATTTTTGTTATTAAAAAAATTTTTATACTGCTGAATTATAACACTAAATATTAAATGTCTTTGAGCATTGTTTTACTTTTTGAAAATTTAATGAGTTCAAAATTAGCCTTTAGAGGATCCGGTATTTTAGGTCATGAAAATTTTGCTTTAGAAAACAATATATATGGTTGTTCAGAAAATTTTCTAGTTTTTTTTTTCTAAACCGTGTACATGTTAAACAGGTTGTTCACCTTTAGTATTACTTGGCAAACGAAAGGCTCTTGAGCTTGTTATGTGTCGCTTGTATCTGTTGGTCATTTTTACACCAAATGCGCAACAGAGAAAGGAAGAAAAAGGACGAGCGAGGCGTGGCGAGATACTGACCACCATTTCTTTAATTAAAGTGCCTTTACCATTTTCAGCTGAGAAGTGGTATTTCCTGTGATAGTTCTACTCGAGGTAATATATGTGATTTTGTATCAACAAAACGCAACAAGTGTTGAAGAAAACTTTAATAAGAATATGTAATTAATTAAGAGATTGTATTATAATAATCTTTTGAGCAATTTTACCTGTTAATTTTATTCGTAAGATAAGAACTTGAAGCAACTTACACACACACACACACACACGCGCGCGCGCGCGCGCGCGCGCGCACACACAATTTTATAGCCGCAATATATATAACCACAAAATAAAACAGTTGTAATTGGTAAAGATTAAGCAGATGGGAGAAAATTAATTGGAAAAATAAATATTCACCGCGTAATCATCATTTCATGCTGAAAAAAATCTTTACGTTTCAATGCGACAATACTTGCGCGACCTTATACAATTTACGAACCTACAGACATGTACTAGCTACATGCTTACGTAATCATGACTTTCATACGTTGCACTTTCGTTTTCGAAAGTGTGATGTAATCGCTATTTAGATAGAGGAATCCGATGAAATCGAAATTGTCATCGTATACGTCACAAAACTTTGAAAAACTAACTTTGCGAGAAATCAAGACAGCTGCAACTATAATGCCGGAAATAATACTGTTACAAGGCATATTGTCGATTGGTCAACCGATCTTCTTGATTAGAATGGAGTTATTTTTGTATCTCGCGTTAATAACACGAAAGAATAGTGTTATGAAACAAATATTATAATCCGTATAATGTTATGTATTACAGTCTAATATATATTACGGAAATAAGATAGACATTTGTAGATTTTGCTTTTTCCATCGATCTCGATTGCTCAATGATCGAAAGTAATAATCATAGAGATTGTATTATAGCAGACTTGTGAATGTTTCAAGGCGATATAACCGTTCTCCGACAATCACGATTCGTGATTCGTGGTTTTACTCCAGTATCCTCCGGTATAAATGAACAGGCTCGCGCTCTCCTTTTATAATCTATCCGAGTAGAAATAAACTGGTACAAAACAACCAGTCGGATTAATAATATAATGACTCGTGCTGTTGTTCTTAACACTTTTTTTTATTACTTTTACTCATCTTTGCCCTGTACTTTTTTCGTAATCTCTATCTTATTTCACTTCTTTGTTTTCTTTACTTTCTCTTATGCTATCTTTACCTTGCAGCACAATCTTCCGATACATTCAACACGCATTATTGATTACATGCATTACGTGTTGCATTTCGCGAGACGAACACATCATTTATTGATTATAATCTTATAAATTTTTTAACTTACATTCGCCACTAGTCATCATCGTCTTATATCTTGTAGATATAAGATCGTGAATTATGAGGTATTTACGCTATGAAAAGCAATATAATATTTTTATAAACAAAGTATTGTACATAAAATTGTGTCTTAATGATCATACATTCATTTTGTTATAAGTATACTTTTATTTTTTTGAAAAAAAAAAACTTGCATATTATTATCGTTTCAAAGTATTTCAAGCTGATCCAGTATGAATTTTCAAAATATACGGTAGCTCTAAAAATTATTTTCTCATACTCTTATTATTAGAACATATATATATTATAAAACAATCACTGATCTCCTTTTTTGCAACTTCTCCGAGAATAATCATTGAATAAACACAATAATAAAAAAAAATAAGAATAAACGACTAAACATTTCTTGAATGAAAATTCATGATTGGACCGCACGATGCAACCGGCGGTCTCCTTTCATTCCAACAGCACTTTCGGTTTCATTTCTGCAAAGGTTTTCAGTCGCAACTCGTTGCGCACGGCCTATGCGGCAGTATGGGAAAGGTTTCCAATTCCTGATTACCCCACCCTTTCACCGTCTTCTCCGCCACCTGTACAAATCGACCGAGCTGGACGAGAATGGAACCAGGACCGCAGACTGAGTTGAAAAGGAATGGCAGTGAGAGTCCGAATCAGAGGGGGAAGGATTTCCCGCGAGTAGCCGTCGCGACTGCCGAGTGCGCGCGTGCACTCGCGCGGACACTTAAGTGTGAAAGTAAGTCTCACAGTTGACCGAAACTACGTTCCGTGCTTTCGTCGATAATCCACGACCGATGTGCCATGCCGTAGAGCGTTTCCTTCAATTGTGGAATATATCTGTACGGCTTTAATATCAATACAGTTCTAAAACCATTAGTGACACCGTTGTAAAAAAAAAAAACAGAAAATAATCGGCATTAATTACTACGCATCTCTCTGTATCTTCGCGCAAGGTTGATTATGTACAATATTTCTATCACGGTATACTTTCAACTTTCTTCGTACATATCTAATACTTTCATTACAATCAGTTTTTTAAATCAATTCGGATAGCAAATTTCGTCAATTTCGTATCTCTCTCGCGTTGTGGTTACTTTAAAAAGGATCTGATTGACAGAGATATTAGCAACAAGATCGTAGAAAAAAAGAAAAAGAAGAAAAAAAACGAAGAAATGAAAACTTGGAAGCAGTCGCAACAAGTGGGAAATGTATGAAATTTCATACAAACTATTATAACGCTTTAATTAAATACATTGTAATTAGATAATGGTAAAAATTGGTTACTGCTTAATAGTTCTTAACGAAGTTCTTTCAATCAAAAAAATTGAGTGTTTTTCTTCGCGACAAACAATACGCAGTGTTCGATATATTGTTTCTTCAATTTCTTCAACTTTATTTCAAGACAAGTTTTTTGTGTCTTTGAGAAAGAAGTGGCACATGTATCAATAGTATCTTTCCGTTCTAAGAATCTCTTTTTGATTTTAAGATATCAGTTTTATTTTATATATTTATAAATTGCATAGGATTTTATAAAAAATAGTTTAGAAAATTTGTGTAAATTGAGTGCTTCATCTGCAGTTATGTACAGACGAGTGGGATTCACGATATAAATGAATTTTGGTCGCAATTTTATTCACATCGGGGACATTACGTGATGATGCTTGTAAGAAACGAGTGTACAACGATGAGTTAAATGTATATTTACGCATACAACGAAGATATAAACCAAAACAAGAGGAAAGAAGGAAGAAGGTGAAAAGTGCATACGAAATCACGTGCATTTATTTATTTACGGATATTTGGATCTCTTTGATAAACTAACCCGATTGTGAATTGACCAAATGTCCATATGTACACGTCCATGTGCTGCGCGCTTGTGTTCTCAAATGTAGCTGTTTGAATGAAGATTCTTTGCCGAGACTTACAGTTTGCCAAGACTTTTATAATTATGAAACAAAGGGTGTTCGTTATCGTGTGCTTTTTGAGCTTTGTCTCAGCGGGAAGTCCTAGATTACCTCGGACATCCGCTGATCAGCGCGGCACGCGTAGTGCAAACGTCCATAATAGCACCAGTACTACTGTGCAACCGTCTTCTCGCAATTCGCAGCGGAATAGGTGAGACTTTTGGAGAAATCGTATCTGTCTTATAAAGAAACATTTCTTTTCCTTTCTATTTAACCAATTAGATACTTTTATCTCTTTTTATTCAAGCATAAAGTATAGTGACAGATTTCTTCTAGATCTCTAGAGAGAATCGGACAGTTAAATGTCGATTGTTAATAAACAAATTGATCATATTTTTAAAGATTGCCAATATTTTTACTTTTCTATTTAGTTTGCCAAAGTATTCATCATGCATCGCACGATGTTATCTTTATATTAATATCAGATGTAGCTTCGGTAAAACACATGATTAAGAGTCGTAGTGAATATTTGATTTATTGCCATAATAAATTTTTTTCTTTATTTAATTAGTGAACTGGCTAAGTAAATAATTTGTCAATGATAAGAGATAAATAAGAACAGTCATAAAAAATTATTATATGTTACTAAAAATGATAATAAGTATTTATTTAACAGTAATCAGAAAAATATAAAAGAACGTAATTTGATTGATTTCATCATCAGAGATTATTTTTTTGATAAACAAAACTAACCATGGTTTAAAATAACAATTAGACAAAAGCAATGAACATCGTTTGTTGTAGAGAACAATACCTTTTCAACGTCTTCGAAGTAATAGTGTCAACATTGGAGTCCAAGTTACAGCGAATCGAAAATTTAGATAAGGCGGTGGAACATTTGATGAGAAGAGTAGAAGCCTTAGATTCACGCGTAACCGATAATATTGATAAAACAGATGCGATTATTACGAAACTCAGAACATTAGATCTGAAACTTTTCAACGCATATCCTATTATGTCAACGGAAGCTATTCACGCAGCGAGGATTACCGAAAATAAGAGCAAAAGTCATACCGAAGATAGTAAGTACGCGAAATATATATCTTAAAGAAATTAATTGTACCTTGTTGTTCAGCCAGTTTAGTTTTTTCCTTTGTGCGTAACGAAAAAAAAACTGTATTAAACTATTTATTGAAATACACGCGCGTATAAGAGAAAAATAGAGAATGGGACGAAAAGAGAAGAGGGGAGAGAGAAGAAATAAATATGAATAAGATAGAGAGTTGGAGGGAAAGAAGAGAAGAGCATTAGATAGAGAAAGGGAAAGGGCGGAAAGAAGGGGAGAAGGAAAAAAAAGGAGTGAAAAGGAAAGAAAAAGTGGAAGGGATGATAGAGGGAGAGGAGAAAGGGGAGAAAGTCAGCTTGTTCTGAGCAAAAAATTGCGATTTTTTTATGTACTTTATTCTCATTATGCAAATATTACAAATATTGATGCGAAATCAAATACTTTATCTATATTTGTACCTACTGTTACAGCTCCATTCATACGTATGATCCATCATGATCGAAACAATCGGGCTCCGGAATCACTTGGCGAGAAATTAGTTTCTTTAGATCAAAAAGTTTCCGATATCGATCACAAACTGGTAAATCTGAAAAATCAACTTGACAACAATTTCTTACAAACTGATGATATAAATGCTGAAGCAAGTGAGAAGAAACCTGTCAGTATGAGTGTAATCGAGGTCACTAAGGCTATGAGTAACGAAGTGATGAATCATATGACGATCGAAATTGAGAATCTTAGGCAAGCAACAAGTAATACGGATCGACAACTTCAATTTCACATGAACTTGATGTCGGACAATCTCGGATCGATGTACAATATGCTCACTGACGTACACGAAGCTATTGTTGAAAAAAATTATGCGAATAATCGACAAAATAATCTTAACTTAACAACAACCGAAGCTCCGATAAAACAAAGTAAAATTGATCGTCTCGCTGACCAAATGTACTCGATGCTTACTGTTTCCGAGAAGATGGATCAAGTTTGGAATGTAGTGGTAAGTTTTGAATAAAATTAATGTACAAAATGTGACGAATGAAATCGATATTTGTGTATCGGCGACTTTCGGTCAATAAACAGTCGATATATAAAGCAATATGATAGCAAATAATGATATTAATATTAACAGCTTAATTTATGTTAGATGGGAACGAAGAATTTAGTAGACGATCTATTGCCAAAATCCGACGAACTACTCACTCAAACGCAAAGGCAAGAGAGAGCAATTAATGAAATTCATACCGATCTAAGGTCAAAAACAAATAAAATCATTGAAAATTTGGAGGGCGTCGAAAGTCGCTTGAGGAAGCAAGAGGATGATGTAGCTACTCTTGCGCAACGTCCGATTCCAGCTGAATTGCTGTTAGATCCAACAATTGATCGACTTGTGGAATACGATCCAAGCAGGTGAGAGTTTAATCTATAGTTTAGTTCTAATCTGAGTTTTGAGTTTTTTTTCTTAAAACAAACCAACCTATGTATAGAGTAGTTCTATATTCTAAGTGTATCGTTTTTTAAAATCATTTTTATGACGTTTATTTCAAGATACGTCAGCGTAACCGAAGATTTTGTAACGGTGACACCTGCTACAGCTACAGTACCTACTACTGCACCACCCCTGTCAACTACAACTTCGATATCTTCTGTTGCTTCACCCTCAAATAATCCTACCAGTTCCACGACACCTATGACGACGACATCTTCGAGTACCGCCCGATCGAATAGTAGAAATCGAGGAGTCATATTTCCGAGCGTTAAGAATAAACCGAGTTTAGCAAACTCCACTTTTACAAGTGACATATTAATCAATTATAAGGATGTAAAGGTATGTTAACGTGTTGTATGATTCTTTTTTTATTCATATTCACGCCAGCATTATCTTACTTAAAATATTCTGGTCAATTTTTTATTTTTCGTTACTCTTTACGAGATTTGTTTCAGAAATCATAACTAAATGTTTCAATATTTAAATGTTTGGTTTTATTTTTTTTACTATTTTTTGCATATTGTTAATTTAGGGTTATTCTTGCGTGGATTTATTAAACGCAGGAATGAGAGACAATGGAGTTTACTATCTGCAAATACGCGGTACGACATATTGGTTCCTCAAAGTTTACTGTGAGCAGGAAATTGCCGATGGCGGATGGACGGTGAGTTTATTATAAAGTGATATATCCCATAAAAAATTATTAATTATAATTTATTAAATGAATATAACATATAACATAAACAGATTGATATTATTAAACAGCACCTGCTCCTATATAATAATTTTTTCTTGAATACATGTATTTGTAATTAATACTAAATCAGAAGAATGTTGTAATAAATTTCATATTACGTTGTTAATTATTGAAAATTAAATTAAAATATAAAAAAAGGAGAGAGAATACCTCTTGCTAAAGTTTTAGATAATCAATAATGATACAAACCCATACAGCACAAAATATCCTATATATCCTTAGAACATCTTGGAAAGATCTCGATGTCCTCAGAACATCCTTGGGACACCAAAATATCCTCGATGTCCTGAGGATATCCTGAGGATGTTTTGTGCTGCATGGGAATATATCTACGTATTATTCCAAGTTTATAACGAATCTTCATTTAAAGGTTATTCAAAGGAGGGATGATTTTGGAGAACCAAGGGAGAATTTTAACAGAGATTGGGCAGATTATAAAAATGGGTTTGGGGACCCCGCTAAGGAATTTTGGCTAGGCAATGAAAATATATATATGTTAACAAATAATGAAGATTACACGTTGAGAGTTGAACTTGAAGACTTCGAAGGTAACAAAAGGTATATGCATAAATTGTAGAATAATTTTAATCTTTAAAACTACAGTAAAAGAATATTAAAAACTGTGAAATTATATAAATGTACAGTCTTATAATCGTTGAATCATTAATCAATCGTGTCAATATAAATTTGAAATCGATCAGATATACTTTACAATTATAATCTGGTTTTATCAGATATGCTCAGTATTCCCATTTCAAGATTTATTCAGAAGGAGAGTATTATAAATTGGAGATTGATGGATATGAAGGAAATGCTGGAGATTCGTTGAATGATCCTTGGTATGGATCGAATAATAGTCCGTTCTCCACATACAATAGGTAAGATATTTTATGTAATATACATATAATATTTATTATATGTAGCATAGAATAAAATATAAGGGTGTACAAAAAGTACCGGAACCTCTGAATATCTCGAAAAATATAAGTTTTATAAAAAAATTTTTCAGATAAAAGTTGTAGGATTTAAAAAGATCTATTTACTGATCTTATCAGTTTGATTTTAGGTGGAGACGCTTCGGAGATTTGAAGGTCATCTTTATTTTTTTAAATAAAACTACCCTAATTTTTTTTATATAAATCGATTCCTCGCAATATTCGGCGTAAAAAGTTATTAGAGTAAGATGACCAAAAATTGAATAGCTTACGAGATATTCTATACTTTAATTTGACATAATTTTATATAAACTATGAAATATCTCATTAAATATTTATTTTTCAATTAT